ACTCTGGGTGGATGGGATTCTAGTGAGTGACCTGCCACCATGGAAATAAAGTTGGTCATAAACCTTTTCACCCCAAGAAAATTCCCTTGTCATTCCTCTGTTTCAATGAATCCATAGTGAACTTGTCAGGGGCTGAAACCCATTGACAAGACACCCCCCAACCAAAATGTGAGCCCATGATACCACTGATTTCTTCTCACTCAATGCTTTGCCCCAACATCTAGAACTGTTCAATAAATATTGGTTGAATGAATGAGCATCCAATATTCTCTGCCTATATGTGAGGACTTCACTGAAAGTCATGTGAGAGTCCCAAATGTTTCCCACACTGAGTGAGCCTGGAGCCTCAAGTTTATACATCTACAAAAGGGGAGAAATAAGATACTGACCTCTTAGGGCTATTGTGAGAATTACATGAGATAAGATACTTTAGGGATTTATAATATATGGCATATATTAAGAAGTGGAGGAATGAAAATTCATATCAGAGAAATGTGTATCTATGTATATGACATTTATAGTGGAACAAAAGTAGTAGGAGAAATACTATGATTTTGTCAATCTGTATAAAAAGGTATTTTATCTTATCATATACATTCTTTCAATATTGAGGAATAAAATTGGAATATTTTTCTATGTAAGCTACTGCTTGCTTGCAGGAAAAGAAAGAACACCAAACTAGGGCTCAGAGAAAAATTAATCCAGGCTGCTAATCTGTATGGCCTCTGACAAACCATTTAATAAGTACCTAAGGCTCAGTTTCTCACCTGTAAAATTGGAAGAGGGGGTAGTAATTTGAGAGGAATTGACCAAACTTTGAGCTCTTCTTAAGAAGAGCAAGTAAATACATAAAACATCAACATTTAACCTGTAAAAGCAAAAATTGTTTAAAGATTTTCTCATAACTTTTAGCTATATTAGATGAATTAGACCTCACTAATCAATTAAATTTGGTCTATATATTATTTGTATAGCACTCAGATATGTAATCCCAATTTTATAGTTAACGTTAATGAAAATTAGCCACTTGAAATTATTTTTGCAGAATTTCCTGTGTGCTCTATGCTCTCTCCTTACGAGCAGTTTGGTTTTTCATTTTTGTTTTTGCTTTGGGCTACTCAAGAATTTAACAAGTAAAAAGACATAGATTGGGAAGAAGTTTCCTGGGGAAATATTTTTTGTTTAAAAATTCTGTAGGAGTTATTTTTTTAAGTTATAATAAACAGCATTGTGAGTAATCTGTATGCAGTTTTTGTTTCTTTTTTTAATGTATGAATCAAACATTTCTGAAAACATGATTCTGTATAATGAATTCATTCCTTTTGCCTGCAGCTTTATGTTAATAGGGCTGTATTACAAATCATGAATCAATGAACTACTACTATTCACTGTCTTTGAAGAAGACTCTTGCCTCTCCTCCCAAGAACCAGAAATATGCCGTTGGTTGCCTTTAGCCTTGAACTTTATTAGTCAATTCAGGTGTATTGTTCCTTTGACTCTTATGTCTACCCATTCCATTTCCTCAGGCTGGCATTATAAAATCATCCACTTTGCCTGGGAGAACCACACAGCTGAAGAGTATCATTGTGTGTTCAAGTGCTACACTGGCACATGTGTGCTTATTACTAATGCACAAAACATGATGCTTGGTGAGGTCCCTTTATCATCTGGAAATTGGGGGCAGAAGGCATAATCTGAAGATTTATAAATATCTCCTAACAAGGTCCCAGCTGAGCTGCATCAGGGCTGGACACTTGCTTCATCTTTCCCTGACTGCTCTTCACTTCACTTTTCAAACATTTCTTTACTGCCATTAGCTGGGGTGCACTTAAAAGAAGCACATCGTTAACCACAAAGAATGCTCAGTGTTTTGTGTGATTTCAAATCACAGCACAATTTCCAAGCATTTCCTCGGCAAGCAGCCCGGCAGCAATTTTCCTGTTGTTGAAGACTGACTTCTCATCACAGAAAGGTTTCAGTTTTAGACACAGCCAACAAGCAAGGCTGTAACAAATGATGACGTGTTTCAGCCTCCTTTCACTGGCAATGTATGCCCCCGTGGAAGAGAGTGGATCAGTTTTTATGCAAATTCAACAGGCACATGCCACAAGGCTGCCCTCTTCTCTGACTCGCACAAACTAGGCATTCATCACCGGCATTACTTGCCTAAGATGGGGACTCACAGTTGCTAAGTGGCTTGGGTGGAGGGTGGGGCTGCTCGGTGTCAAAAAGGGGCAAAGGACACAGAAAGGACATGAATCCATCAAGGAAGTGAGAGATGAGCTAATTCACTGAGACAAATTGTGAGGTTTTCAAAAGCCAATGCAAGAGGAAAAATGGCTTCTGTCTTGCCAATGGATTTCAGCCCTGGGCAAGTTCACAGATTCAGTGAGATCAAAGAAATGACAGTAGAACATTCCTTGGGTGAAACAGTTTATACCAACTTTATTTCCATGGTGGCAGGTCAATCACTAGGAATCCCATCCACTCAGAGCAAGTCTGCACGCAGCAAGCCAGTCTCTGCCTCTGGGCCTCTCTGCCCCCGCAGCCATCTCAGTCTCTGTCCTCGGCACTGCCACCACTCCAGTCTCCTCTCTGTTCCCCTGCAGTCTTGCAGCCATGCCACCATGTTGCCCACACCACTGGGTGGAGCTCTTTGTATAGATTCAATAACAACGTATTGCCCACAGGTGTGTAGTGAGTGAGCCAACCAGGGCCAGGTGAGAATCCCGGCCATAGGAACCTTCACTTTATGCACAGCTTCCTGCCCCACCTCTGTGAAAGACAGCATAGACACTGACTTCAGCAGCACCCCTGGGGTCACGTTTCCCCAAGTGGGAGCTGCTCCAGAACAGTTTATAAATTGTACAGAGACAGGGGCTCTGCTCCACAGCCCAATGTTTCTCTCTTTTCTTTCCCATTTTGATCAAACCTGGTTTTGGGAAAATTGGGGTTCCTATGGCCAGGATTCTCACCTGAACCTAAACTACTGATGATGTAACTGGCCTGCTGCTAGGTTACCGCTTTCACACCCATGGCAATAAGCTATTGTAAAGGCGTCTGCCCAGTGCTCGGCGCGGAGGCAGAGACGAAGAAGGATTACAGACCTGTGGGATGCAGACGTAATTCTAGTGCTCCACCAATCGCCAGGAGAACAAACCAGGTAATAACTCTTTTACCCCAAGAACATTCCCTTGTCGTTCCTTGGTCTCACTGACTCCATAGTGAACTTGCCCTAGGCTGAAACCCACTGGCAAGACACCTAGTTATATACCATTTGAGGAAATGAGGGTCACAAATTGGGCAGGGCAAACATCCATGATGCCTCATCTGCAGGTAGAGTTTTAAGGGTGGCCAAGCCACAATCTGATTTTTCACTTCGCAAACCTATAAGCAAACGTCACACTGCCCTCTGGAGGTAGTTGCATTGGGTCCAATCCTGATTTAGTGATTGGCATCCATTGGAAAAGAAGGGGGTGTGGAAGTTCACAATTCTTTTTCTGGAGGGGAGAGAGGAGGGAGTATGGTATAGAAAGACTACCGGTTCACTAACT